TAACTTTTTTTTTGTGTTTTTTGAGTTGTTTATGTTCTACTTCTGTAATATCTTTTACTTTTTTATCTGGAATTATAACTAGCCAATTAGCTTCTTTTCTTTTAACTTTCTCAATTACTGCACTTCTACCAAATTCATAATCAAAATTAATTACTACCTAGTTGTTTCCTTTTTTGAATTTTTTTCTAATCAATTTAATATGTTCGTTATCTCTTAGCATCTATTTTAGATAATTTATTCTTTTAACTTTATTGTTATCTGATAGATTATATGTTGGAATGTTTGCTCTAAATGAATATTTTTAATTATACACTCTATTCTCTAATGACCACAAGTTATCCTCTAATAGTATTACTAAAATTTGATTTTTTAAAGATATAATGTTTTTTTTTTTTTTTTACTCTTGAATTTCTTTTTGAGTTTTCTTTTTATATATTTTTTTACTATTTTTGAATATATTCGTTAAAGGAATTTCTTAATCATCCTTGAACTTCTTATCCTTGATCTTTATTTTATTTATATTTTCTTTCTTGGTTGTTTCAGAAGGTATTGTTTCAGATATTTAGTTTGTTGTTTCTATATCTAATATGTTTTTTTTTCTTTATATAGATATTGTTTTTAGTTAGTTCAACTGATTTATAAGATTTCAGGTCTTCTTCTTCTGATTATTACTCTTCTTCTTGTTACCATTTTTTTAAAATTATCTTCTAAAATCTTTCTAGTTTGTTTTTTTTTTCTATATCTTTCATCTTGTTCATTTTTTCTTATATTTGTTCATTATTTATATTTGTTATATAGTTTACTGTTTCTGGGTTTTCATAAGTCATTCTGACTTTAGTTGCCTATTTTTTGATCAGAATGTCATTTGGAATTCTACCCTCTCTTTGTCTTAATAAACTTAGTATTTGTTCATAGATTAGTAAATCCATTGCTATCACATACAGATTCTTTTTATAATATAATATTAAAGTTGATCAAAGATCGACTCTACATAATTAGGTTTGAAATTAATGTTAAAGAGATAAATGATTCAAAAGTATAGGTAAAATGACTTACTTTTTGGCCATCGTGTGAATTTGTACTCCGCATTAAGTGTTTCACGCTGTAACTGGAGTTTGCCATGTGACTCAGAACTTAAAGAGTCGTCACGATAGAAATTTTATAAAAAATTTTATAAAAAATTTTTTTTCAGGTTTAATTTTCTTCAAAATATTTTAGCGTACAAATTTGTACGCTAAACCGGACGGTTTAAGAGATAATATTAATTTTTTAAAATTTTTTTATTTTATTTTATAGTATTGATTTTTTATTTCAAATATACTTTATTTAAACTTGCTATAAAGCTTTATAATTACTTATTTTTAAAATTACGAAAACTTTTATTTTTTAGTTTAATTCAAATTATTAACCTAATTTATAAGAGTTTAAATACTAACCTATAAAACCTAAACCAGTTATATATAAAAATATTTATAAACTTCTGTTTCACATTATAATTTTAAAAAATTCAAAGAATTATAATACAAGAAAATTTGATAGTTAAAACATAATTGTTGACAAGCCCAAATAATCATACTAAACTTGTAGCAATTGTAACGTGTCTGCTCTGCACATGCTTATCACACGATAATAATCACATACTGAGAAGCGCTAAACGTTCCTGGGAAATTTTATATTCATAAACTTTATTGAAAATTCATTCTTTTGCCTTTATAGAGTCTTATACATAATCATATAAAGAAACCAATAAGAAGGTTTCATAAATCCATATTTAAAAAATGGCTTAGAAAAGATAGAGATGCTATTAAAGGTTCGCTATAAGTAATAACAATACCCCGTGATATTAATATAGTGATCGGGGTATTTATTCTGATCGATATGATTAATAAACTGAATCGTTTCATCAATAAATAACTAGAGAATACGAAATAAAATAAAAAAATAACTACCAACGATATTTATGAACGTATGAGTGTACTAAATCGAGCCGTAACGAAAAAAAATCGATGTTTAAGGTTAAGGGTTATAATTATAAGCGAATTGGAGACAGATCCAATTTAATAATTTCTACCAAATAGAGAGCAAATGAATACGTAGAATGAATAAGATTGATATGTATGGAAAATAACGATTACCACTTTTGTGAAACGAATATGCGCAAGTGTACTCGTTTAATACAAAAGGTTCTGATGGATATTATTCATGTTTTAATTAAACTATTCAGAAAAAAGTTTCAATATGACAGGTCTCTCTATGAAAGTAAATTATAATTACGAAATCTAAATACAGTCAGACCCCTCTATAATCACACCCTCCGGGATAAAGATTTGTGTGCTTATAAAAAGATTTTTATTAAGATGTGCTTATAAAGAGGTTTTTTTTAATACATTTATATATAATTGGTTTTTAAATAGATGTGCTTATAAAAAGGTTTTTTGTATGACGCTCTTATAACAAGTGTGACTATCTATATAGAGGTCTGACTGTATTGATCAGTGAACAGGAGGAAACGTCCTTCACCCAGTGTGCAACATATAAAAAAATTATTTTACAATCCCAAATCATTCCCCTAGTATATGTTATGATTTCTGACGATGCTTCTAGTTCTACTTCGGAACATTTGGTTAAAAAAACAAAAAACTAATGGTCCAAATTTTGTGAAATAATAAAAGGAATAGGAGTGGTAACGGGCATCATGAAGTAATCTGCTTTTATTGTAGCTGGAAACGTGAAAAACCCCAGATCATAAAACACACTTAGTAAACTATTGTGAATCATATTCTGAAGATATTAGTGTTTACTGGTATAAAAGGTTAACAGAAGTTAACAAATATTCTTATAATTTTAATAAATCTGAATTAATGTTTTCGAATGTTCACGTCTTTATTAAAAGCATAGGTTATGACAGGAGCTATGGGTTGGCTAGTATTATACAATATGAATTGGCCGTTCTTGATTAAACATTGTAGGTTGAAGTTCTTTGATATTTCGCTTGGTGCCCGTTTACGCTATAGATCGGATTTTTTAGTAATTACAATAATTTTTATGAAATTAAAAAGCAATTCTTAAATGCATTTTAAATAGCCAAAGAAATACCAATGATTTACCTAAATACTCTTGTTTATTTTTAATTCTATTGACTTTTTCTCTGTATACAGTGAACCTCCGTAAGTGCACCCTCTATAAATGCACCATCTATAAGTGCACACCCTCTCTAAATGCACGCTTAAATTCAGGCTCAAATCTGCACATCGGTCCAAGAGCGTACACTTATGGATGTTTTACTGTATATATCCTTCCATAAATGCACTTTTTCTTATTTTTCTTTAAGAGCACGTCGTTAAAGTTCGGTCCCAAGAACGTACATTTATGGAGGTTTACTTTAATTTTTAATCTTCGAGTACAATGATAAGTTACCATATGTATGATCACACTCCGTATAAAGCATCGTTCATATTTGGCAAATTTTCGAATAACGGTAATTTGACTCAACCTGACAAATGATTGGCTGACACATGCCACTTCGCGCACGTATGATACTTATCCGGCTTCAGAAAAATCTTATTTCAACATAATAAAAATACTATTTGAAAAATCTAGTTAATTTCAATTTTAAAATGCACGACTTATTTGTTAATTTTTAAACCTCAATTAGTAAAGTTATGGTTAGTATGTTAGTTTAATCGTAATTCTGTTTAAAAAATACGTAGTGATTCATCGTATTCCTATTTGGGGTACAACATATATATCATGTGGGGCTAATGATAGATTGCAAGATTTTGAGATGGTTTTTTTCTTTGTGAGCCACTAATTAAAATTATCGTTATTTAAAATAGAGTTCCAATCCGTCATCCATTTATCCAAATCCTGAATTTAACGGTAAATGTATAAACTGGTAACTCTAATTTAAACCAAAATTTCAATAACACTTATTGAAAAATAGTAGAAAATCTACTCTAACAAATATGATCGTATCGGTCCTAAATCGGTCCCAAGATCGGAAATTTTTGAATTTTTGAGAAGCTTCGCCATTATTTTTCAATATGTACTATTAAAAGTTTGGCTTAAATAACTTCAATTAGTGGCTCACGAAAATGATTTTATGCGGTGATTATCCGCAAAATAATTTTTTTTGCAAATTTCTGCAATAAAAATTCTATTTCTGCAATTTGTTTGGAACTTGGTTAAAAATTTTAGGTCAATTCTGTAATTATCCGTAATAAAAATGAATTCAAAAGTTTCTGCAAATTCTGCATTTTGCAGAAAATCATCGTACCTGATCCCTAAGCAATGTCTGTTAAAATTGCTTGCCTAAACTTATTTTACAATTTGGTAAAACCTATAATTTTCCAAAAAATTTATTATTTTAATATAATTTCGCTAATTTATATATATTTACTATAATTTTAGTTTTACCTTATTTACTTGTATGTATTTAATAGAGTTTTACCTTTCGCTATTTAGACGACTGTCTAAACCTAGTTTCACCCAGCAACCTTAATGTTTGTATTATTTTTTTTTTTTAAAAAAAAAACTGGCTCTTTTTAAAGAAAAAAAACAGAAATTATTTTAAAAAAAAGCCGATACATATTCGGAAAATTCAATTTCCGATCTATTGTCGACACAATCAATATCATTTTTATGTGGCTGTCACATTATTTCGAAATATCACAGGCTTCCCAATGCATCATGCGATATTTTTCCATTTTTCCGATTTTTCCAAGGTAGAATACCAATCGTAACCATGATGTAAGTATGCCAAGCATAAGAACCATATCCATTTTTCTCTTATTTTGTTCTTGTTGCCCGAAAAAAAAAACAAATGGAACAATTAATATTTATCGCTTAATAATTCTAATTGAATTGTTCCGAAATTATTCCTACACAAAAAAAGATAAATAGCCTCAGTTTATTACTTGCTCGCATCAAATCCTGGAGCTTCAACAAAATAAAAAAAAAAAAAAAATCAAAAAACACATAATCCAAACTAATAATTTATTATGTCAGAAATTAGACGGCATTCTGATTTTATCGCGAACTCCGGACTTTTGCGTCAAATTCATGACGCTAATAAGTTGGCCAGATCATATAATTACGGCCATGAGCTCTCAGGATTTAAAGCCATGCTCCTGGTTGTTATACCTGAATGCCATAGGCATAATATACGGAATCAAAGAATGATAAAACAAATTACGACATGTATATGGGAAGATTATGCAACTATAAGCGAAAAGGAGTACTTTATTGACCTAGCCGATCAGATTAATAAAATACTTTTAAGTCAAAGGCCATCTCAGATCGTTCGAAGACCAAGAAGTATTTCCAACACTATGCCTAATATGGAACATACGTCCCTTTCTAGAGCAATCTTTTATGGTTCAAATTTTTAAATTTTCGATAAATTGTCCTACATAATACCTAATATAGACTTAATATTTAATTTGGAAAGGAAATTTGGCAAAATATATTATGTTCATGTGTAAATTTTTTTAAATATAGATTATGTTTATATGTAAAATTTTTTAAATATAGACTATGATGTTTATGTAAATTTGGAAAGGCAAAATCGATCGTAATAAAAAATGATAATCCTGTAAAATTGTGATTGTGATAATAAAAAAATTGTTCCTAGATTGTTCCGAAATTTCCTCTTTTGGTTAGACTTGAAACTACGCCTAATGAAATTAATCCATCTTTTTTCCTTTTTTAAAAAAAAAAATATATACGTATACATATAATGATAGCTAAAAAAAAAAAGTTTTAAAAAAGGTCAATTAAATGGTTAGCCTTTTAGATCATTGGGGACAAAAAAATATTAATGAACCGGTGTTACGTCTATAAAATATTAATTATACGTACGTACAGACTCTATTAATACTGTTTTTAAAATAGTTAACATAGTAAAATAAGATAGTTGACCATAAATTTGTTGGTTGTTGATTGAAGGGCCTCTGATAGAACCTGCCTAGTTAATTGGGGCAATAATGAGAATTGATCTTTCAATTAAATGGTTGGATTCGTAAAATAATACAATTTGGCCAGTATTAATGTCAATATAAATTCTATCACTATATAGAATTTAACACAAAAAATATAAATTCTAGAATTTAACAATCTAAATTCTACGTATCATCATTATCAATTCTCACAAATATAAATTCTATCCATATATAGAATTTAACACATTCATAATTTAACACAAAAAAGTTCTAGAATTTTATCACAAATATGTGGAATTCTAAAATTTAACAAAATAAATTCTAGAATTTAACGCAAATATGTGGAATTCTAGAATTTTAACAAAATATAAGTTTTAGAGAGGTGTAACGCTGTGATTTTCGTGATGATGATGATGTCAGAGATTCTAGATTAATCAGTAACGTATTTATTCGAAATCTTTAAAATTGTCGAAGAATCAAAAAATCCGCTAAAATCTATTGATTTTCTGTGATTTCACATGATACCATGATCTGCATGTGATTTCGCCAGCGTAGCAACAAAAAATCTCGGGACGTAGCGATTGAAAATGCGGTTATATTAGAGTTAGCTTTACTTTAGAGTTAGGCATTAGTGGAGTCTAGTAGTAAAATCGCCCAAGAAAGGCTTTTTGTTAGAGCGCTAAAGGTGATTTCTTATGAAATTTTTGAGTTATGAGTGATTTTTGGCAAACCGAACACTTTGCTTTGAATTTTTCTGATCGTGCTACGTTACATCAATTAGCTATTGGTTAGTTTCCTGTCGATCATCATGTGACTAGAATTTTATGGGGAGTTATCTGCATGTGTTAAACCTTTTTTGCAAACTGTCATAATACAAATACCCCGTATTCCGTTCTCCAAAGTACCCGGTGTGATGCAATTTTTTACAATTGAAAAAATTCAAATCACGTACATTACACATCACATAATGTATAAATAATATTTTAAAAATTGATCTATATTATTTGTCATGCCGGGTACTTTTGAGAACGAAATACGGTATTTAGAATTCTAGGCGTTTATCATTACAATATACTAAGCTATGTGTTTCTAACAACTACCAACACGATGTTGTGCTGCCCTTTCTTAAAAAACCATATAGGTATATATAGGTTTGTTCACGTGACTTTAATAAAAAATATCGATTGTAATTATAAAACAAAATTATATATGAATGCACTTTGGGGCATTAAGTTGGGAGAGGTGAAGGCATACACAAACTTATATAATCGGCTCTTATATCATCAACTAACTTTCTATGGCGCGACAACTCAGATTTTGATTTTTTTCTATGAAAATTTTACTTATTTCAGTTTAAAACTACATTCTAATCCTAAATTTTAATAAAAATAAAAGGTGAAAAAATTATTACTAGTTATTTTCTTAATCAAATTAAATAATTTTTATTAGTTAAATAGTGAAAATTTTTACTAGCTCAATAATAAAATATAAAAATTTAGCAATAACTTTTAAACTATCAAGCCTATGTAAATAAAATTATATTTACTAAATTCTTTTAGCATGCTAAAGTATCGGTATTATTTTTTTTATTTGAATATTATTATCTATAACCTGAAGTAATCATTACTCAATGCTATATTTTAAAAACATTACTAAGAAACAGAATCAAATATACTAAGTAAAAATGTTTAAAATCTAAATTATATTTAATTTTGTTTTGGTTTTAAATTGCATTCTAACTTTAAAAATAGTAAGGAATAATTATTTCAGATTATTATAATGTTATTATAATTATATTTCTTTTATTTTTTATATAAATTAAAGCAAGGCCTTACCTTAATACCAAAAATATATATTGGTCATCTCATTAAGCGTGATACACCAACTTGATACATTTGAATTAAAATATAATTACACAAAATTTTACATATTAACTTGCAATTAAATAAA